GTGAGTAAAACACCCCCAAAGAAGGGAGAAGGGCCAGCCCTAGATTAGTGTACCATTAGGGTCCAAAGTGGGGCAGAGAATGAGAGGAGAGATGGGAAGAGAGTGCCAAAGTCTTCCTCCAAAGTGGAAACATCTCCATTAGAGGATGGAGACCAAGACGAGTCAGAACTAGCTATGATTTGGATGGGATTTGTAGTTTTGGGAGGGAGCAGCCCCTTGGATGGAGAAGGCTTCAAAGCAGGGTTTCCCCAAAGAAGGGAGAAGGTCCAGCCCTAGATTAGGGTACCATTAGGGTCCAAAGTGGGGCAGAGAATGAGAGAGAGAGATGGGAAGAGAGTGCCAAAGTCTTCCCCCAAAGTGGAAACATCTCCATTAGAGGATGGAGACCAAGACGAGTCAGAACTAGCTAGGATTTGGATGGGATTTGTAGTTTTGGGAGGGAGCAGCCCCTTGGATGGAGAAGGCTTCAAAGCAGGGTTTCCCCAAAGAAGGGAGAAGATCCAGCCCTAGATTAGGGTACCATTAGGGTCCAAAGTGGGGCAGAGAACAAGAGGGTGAGATGGGAAGAGAGTGCCAAAGTCTTCCTCCAAAGTGGAAACATCTCCATTAGAGGATGGAGACCAAGACGAGTCAGAACTAGCTAGGGTTTGGATGGGATTTGTAGTTTTGGGAGGGAGCAGCCCCTTGGATGGAGAAGGCTTCAAAGCAGGGTTTCCCCAAAGAAGGGAGAAGATCCAGCCCTAGATTAGGGTACCATTAGGGTCCAAAGTGGGGCAGAGAATGAGAGGGAGAGATGGGAAGAGAGTGCCAAAGTCTTCCTCCAAAGTGGAAACATCTCCATTAGAGGATGGAGACCAAGACGAGTCAGAACTAGCTAGGATTTGGATGGGATTTGTAGTTTTGGGAGGGAGCAGCCCCCTTGGCTGGAGAAGACTTCAAAGTAGGGTTTCCACAAAGAAGGGAGAAGATCCAGCCCTAGATTAGGGTACCATTAGGGGCCAAAGTGGGGCAGAGAACAAGAGGGTGAGATGGGAAGAGAGTGCCAAAGTCTTCCTCCAAAGTAGAAACATCTCCATTAGAAGATGGAGGCAGGTGGGCACTCCTTGGCTCCAATTCCTGGGAGTTGCAGTGATGGGATTTGTAGTTGGGTGGGGCTCAAGGCCACATAACACTACAACTCCCAGGACCCCATAGATTTCATCCAGGGCAGTTCAAGGAGTGCAACCTGCATCTGTCCTCTGTGCATTGTTTCTACAGTGGAGATGCACCCCTGGTAGCCAAGATGAATCAGAACTAGCTAGGATTTGGGTGAGATTTGTAGTTTTGGGAGGGAGCTGCCCCCTTGGATGGAGAAGGCTTCAAAGCAGTGGTTCTCAACCTTCGTAATGCTGCAACCCGTCAAGTTGTGGTGAGCCCAACCATAAAATTATTTTAGTTACTACTTCATAACTCTAATCTTGCTACTATTATGAATCGTAATGTCAATATCTTGATGTTATTTACATTCTCTGGATCCAATTCGGCACAAATAATAATCTATATAAATAAAAATGTAATGTGCGTTTCTGGATTAACATAACTCTAAAACCATTGGATGAATTGACACCAAATTTGGACACAAGACACCTAACAACCCATTGTATGTCCTTCACTCAAAACATTTTGATTTTGTCATTTGGGAGTTGTAGTTGCTGGCATTTATAGTTCACCTACAATCAAATAGCATTCTGAACTCCACCAATGATGGAATTGAACCAAACATGGCATACAGGACTCCCATGACCAACAGAAAATACTGGAAGGGTTTGGTGGGCAGTGTCCTTTGGTTTTGGAGTTGTAGTTCACCTACATCCAGAGATCACTGTGGACTCAAACAACAATGGATCTGGACCAAACGTGGCATGAATATTCCATATGCCCAGATATGAACACAGATGGAGTTTGGGGGAAATAGACCCTGACATTTGGGAGTTGTAGTTACTGGGATTTATAGTTCACCTACAATCAAAGAGCATTCTGAAACCCACCAGACTTGGCACACAAAACTTTCATGACCATCCAAAAACACTGGGTTTGGTGGACATTGACCTTGAGTTTGGAAGTTGTAGTTCACCTACATCCAGAGAGCACTCTAGACTCAAGCAATGATAGGTCAGGACCAAACTTGGTATGAATACTCAATATGTGTAAGAATGGCTTCCCTGATTGCATCTACCCTCCTAGTTCACTAGAATCCATCTAATTAGTTCCAAGTAATTTAGAATTACATCTTACAACCTTTGAGCAATCATGGCTTCCTTATTTATCATTCCTACCTAATTAAATTAATCCATCCAATTAGATAAAAGCAATTGAGAGTTACATTTTGCACGCTTTGTGCAACCATGGCTTCCTGGATTTTATTATTCCCACCTCATGAATCCGTCCAATGAGTTAAAAGTAATTGAGAGTTATGTCTTGCAACTTTTGTGCAACCGTGGCTTCCTAGATTTTATTATTCCCACCTAATTAATCCGTCCAATGAGTTAAAAGTAATTGAGAGTTACGTCTTGCAACTTTTGTGCAACCATGGCTTCCTGGATTTTATTATTCCCTCCTAATTAATCTTTCCAATGAGTTAAAAGTAATTGAGAGTTACGTCTTGCAACTTTTGTGCAACCGTGGCTTCCTGGATTTTATTATTCCCACCTAATTAATCCATCCAATGAGTTAAAAGTAATTGAGAGTTACGTCTTGCAACTTTTGTGCAACCGTGGCTTCCTAGATTTTATTATTCCCACCTAATTAATCCATCCAATGAGTTAAAAGTAATTGAGAGTTACGTCTTGCCACTTTTGTGCGACCGTGGCTTACTAGATTTTATTATTCCCACCTAATTAATCCATCCAATGAGTTAAAAGTAATTGAGAGTTACGTCTTGCAACTTTTATGCGACCGTGGCTTGCTAATTTTATTATTCCCACCTAATTAATCCATTCAATGCGTTAAAAGTAATTGAGAGTTAAGTCTTTCAAGCTTCCTTATTTATTATTCCCACCTATTTAATTAGATGTTATTATTATAAAAATAATATAATGCGTTAAAAATAATTGAGAGTTACGTCTTGCAACTTTTGTGCAATCGCAGCTTCCTAGATTTATTATTTCCACCTCATTAATCCGTCCAATGAGTTAAAAGCAATTGAGAGCTACGTCTTGCAACTTTTGTGCGACCGTGCCTTCCTAGATTTTGTTATTCCCACCTCATTAATCCATTCAATGAGTTAAAAGTAATTGAGAGTTACATCTTGCAACTTTTGTGCAACCATGGCTTCCTGGATTTTATTATTCCTACCTAATTAATCCGTCCAATGAGTTAAAAGTAATTGAGAGCTACGTCTTGCAACTTTTGTGCGACCGTGCCTTCCTAGATTTTATTATTCCCACCTCATTAATCCATTCAATGAGTTAAAAGTAATTGAGAGTTACATCTTGCAACTTTTGTGCAACCATGGCTTCCTGGATTTTATTATTCCTACCTAATTAATCCGTCCAATGAGTTAAAAGTAATTGAGAGCTACGTCTTGCAACTTTTGTGCAACCATGGCTTCCTGGGTTCATTATTCCCACCTAATTAAATCAATCCATCCACCTAGTCAAAGTTGACTCTAGAGATTCCGAAAGAAATCTGGTGAGAATGCTATTGTTGACATTGGCAATGTCAACACTTGTGTAGGAGTTCTGGGCCTTGAACCCCAGCAAATGTACCTGTTTTGCACTAAATCCCTTCCATTATGACCGGAATCCGCTTCCCACGCACCTGTCCTGGCTCACATTATAGCAATACCTGGGACTGTCTATAGTTTGGCTCTGGCGGATAATAACGATTGGCTCCTGTCCATAAAAGAGACAAAAGAAGCAAAACAAACAAGGAGGAAAGAAGGTGGAGGTGTGGCCATATCAGGGCCGGAATGGCCCTTTAGACCCAAAAACCTTAATTAAAAGGATTGCTGGCTAATATCTGTTGGGTTTAAGTAGTGGGTGATGGTTTCAATAGCAGTCCAACAATGAATCCATTTCGGGTTTTAATCCGAACTTTAATGGAGCTATCCAGCTGAATTGCAGTATGGTAATGTATCCATTCCAGGTTTAAATTCAAACTTTAATGGAGCTCTCCAACCTAATTGCAAGTGTGGCAATGAATCCGTTCCGGGTTTTGATCCAAACTTTAATGGAGCTATCCAGCCTAATTGCAGTATGGTAATGAATTCATTCCGGGTTTTAATCTGAACTTTAATGGAGCTACCCAGCCTAATTACATGTGCGACAATGAATCCATTCCGGGTTTTAATCCAAACTTTAATGGAGCTACCCAACCTAATTACAAATGCAGCGTTCAATCCGTTCTGGGTTTTGATCCGAACTTTAATGGAGCTATCCAGCCTAATTACAAGAGCGACAATGAATCTGTTTTGGGTTTTAATCCGAACTGTAATTGAGCTACCCAGCTTAATTACAAATGTAGCGTTCAATCCGTTCCGGGTTTTGATCCGAACTTTAATGGAGCTACCCTATCTAATTACAAATGCAGCGTTCAATCCATTCCGGATTTTGATCCAAACTTTAATGGAGCCTACTTGCAAATGCAGCATTCAATCCGTTCCGGGTTTTGATCCGAACTTTAATTGAGCTCTCCAGCCTAATTATAGTGGGGCAATGAATCCGTTCCAGGTTGTGATCCAAATTGTAATAGAGCTACCCAGCCTAATTGCAAATGCAGCACTAAATCCGTTCCGGGTTTTGATCCGAACTTTAATGGAGCTATCCAGCCTAATCTCAAGTGCGACAATGAATCTGTTTTGGGTTTTAATCCGAACTGCATTTGCAATTAGAGCTACCCAGTCTAATTGCAAATGCAGAGTTCATTCCGTTCCGGGTTTTGATCCGAACTTTAATTCAGCTTCCCAGTCTAATTGCAAATGCAACATTCAATCTGTTCCAGATTTTGATCCAAACTTTAGC